CCTGCTGAAGACATGGCATCAACTAGGGCTTTAAGAGACTGGTGCCGCGCCACATGCGCAGATTACCCCACAGTGGAAATAAAGGACATGTCAACCTCATTCAGAGATGGACTCGCATTTTGTGCCATCATCCACAAACACCGACCTGAATTAATGTAAGTAGTCCACTTGTTTCAAAGACCTGTGCTGACTGTGCAAAGGCATTATAAACCAGATGGACAACGGAAGTGAGGTGCAATAAATCCTTAGTAGTCTATCTACAGGTGTGTTGCATGATTTAAACATTTCTAACATTGCATACACTTAGTTTGTCCTGGTCTGTTTTGGGTTCTGCCCTGAGATTTTGTCCTAACTAGTGCTGTCAAATCTGGAGCAGAGAAGGACCTACAGGCTTTGTCAGACAAATCTCTCCTCTGCTTAATCTCTCTTTGTCTCTCTCCGTATCCTTTCCTTTCCAGTTAAATGGGATTGGTTAGTTTGTTTTACCTTGCACAAACATCCTCTAATGTGATCTGTGGTCTTGAACTGTAGTTTGCCTGTGAGGTACTTTGTCAGTGCAGTATCATCTTAACCATCATTCACATGTTTGTGAGTTTGTCTTTTTGTAAGTGCTCAATTTGTTGTCAACTCTGTTTTTCTTCCCTCACTCCAGAGATTTCAGCTCCCTCTCCAAAGATAACGTTTATCAAAATAACAGGCTGGTGAGTCATTTCCATCTATGCTCTGCACACAAGTCACAATGCAAATGCTTCAACTCTCTTTACTAACACAAAAGACCATAAATGATTTTTACAATAACCTAACTTCATTGTTTGTTTGTGTTTCCTCATGTGTAGGCGTTTGAGGTTGCAGAAACAAAGCTGGGCATCCCTGCGTTGCTGGCCCCAAAGGACATGGTTTCCATCAAAGTGCCTGATTGTTTGAGCATCATCACCTACCTTTACCAGTACTACTACTTCTTCAGCAACAAGTCTCGTGGTGCGTTATAGACCTTTACGCTTTCAAGTTGAAGCTTTGAGGTTTATTGTGTGGCTCAGATGGTGCATTATAAGCTTTGAGGTTTATTGTGTGGCTCAGAGGCACTTTACCATGGCACAAAGTGTTTCAGATCACAAAGAAGTTCCTAGGATTGTCTCTGTGATGTTCTGGGCTCTTTACAAGATCTACAGATTCATGTCTATTGTTCTATTCCACTCTTCACCTTGTATGAATAAAATCCTTAGAAGCATATACACCTTTTATCTTTTCAAAGTAAGACAGCTCAAGCTCACCGTGCTACATTTGCATGTTCTCTATTGACTTTGCAACAGGTCCTGCTAGTTTGAGGTCGTCGCATGTCACTGTCTTAAACAGTCTCACAAAGCATAAAGCTCTGGAGGTACTAGCTCACAGACTTCTTAACATACACATTCTGCCAGTGAACACACTTGTTGTTCCTACTCTTTGCTGTCTTAGCTACTGCGTTAACAGTCGTCGATTCTGGTTTCTCTTTTCTTTTAAGAGCTTGACTCCTCTGGAAACCGGCAGAGATCGTTTGTCCCACACAGGGCCGCGAACAGTGTGCAATTTGTGTTTCATGCCTGTCCACCTTATCCAGAGACATCTGATTGGCAGCAAGGTCTACCATCACAGCTGTTTCAGGTAACAGCACAGGGCACAAGGTATCAGTAGCTTGCATCCAGATTTATTTCAAATGATTAAATGACATTCGGATTAAATTTTATGTGAGTTAGATTATTTAGAGATCAGTGCAGGTCGGTATGTTTCCTTAAGCATTTTTCTGTAGATATGTGTTGTTTACTTTTACAGTACATGTCATTTTTGCCTTTCAGGTGCAAAGTGTGCCACGGCGATCTTTTACCAGAGTCTTGCACACAGGAAAGTGATGCTGGCTCCTTGGTCTGCTCTGACCATAAAACAGACAGTAATAGTACTTGCATAGACTTCAATAAGCAGATTGCATCTACAGAGAATCAGCCCAAATGTAAGTTCCAGGCAGGTTATTTTTCTTTTGGTGGACTGAGTATCACCAGCGTCCCTCATTACACTAAGCAAGCAGAGCCGCAGGACAGACCGGTCTGTAAAAGCCCAGAGATGGAGGGGAGAGGAAGGCGGGAGGGGAGCAGAGAGGTGAAAGACAGAGAAAACAGACACTCCTCTGTTGGACTAAAGAGCGTGGTAAAGAAGCCAGCACCCCTTCCTCCTCAGCCACCCAGTGTTGAAGACAGGACAGTCAAAGGAGCTGGAAATGCTGGAGCTGCAGCTGTTCTGGCAGACAGCAAAAAGCAGCAGGAAGTGAGACAGACTCAGCAGCCCTCTGAGCTCTCTGCAGCATGTGTACGGGTGACAGCAGGAAGTGGTCGGCCAGTTCCTGCACGCAGGAGAATGGTAGACTCTGCTATGGTCCCTGTTGTTGCACCCAGGACCAAATCCTCACCGGCAACAAACAGACCTGCTACTGCAGGTGAGGAAACATTGTGTTATTTGACTGTTGATGTACAGTTTTAGTTTGAATTACTCTCTGTATATTTATGTTCATGACAGATTCATCTCTTCTCCTTCATGACAATGTAAAAAATTAGCAAAGCCATTTTTGTTTTTCTCACTATGTGCAGACAATTCATCCAGCCCCAGTAAATCTCCACACAGTTTGTCTCAAATGTAAGTATACACAAAAACTTTCTTCTTTATCTGTAACTGTGCTTCCTTTACCTTTGGCCTCATGGCTTCTAATCTATTAAATCTAGAAAATAACCAGAGCAGTTTATATTGTTAATACCTTATTTTTGTGGCTTATTACAAAAGTGAATACAAATGTATTTAAAAAAAAATAAATAAAAACTAAAACATAACAAATAGCATAAAACCTCAATGTTGATGCAACCTTAAACATAACAAAAAAGGAAATGTAGAATGTGATTTGCCATAATAGTAATAGTAAATACTGACTGTTTTCCAGTGACTTGTCTCTAAAAGCACCTCTCGTCTTTCCCCTTTCAGCACCAGCCCGACCAGTAGTAGCCCTAAAGTGAAAGCCAGCCACCCGTGGTTGACCATCGTCCATCCCGGACCCTGGACGCAGCTGCCTCCTGCTCCAGCCCTAGTCTCCACTAGTCGATCCAAATCTGTCTCCAACCTGTGGGAGTCCTGCTCCAGACCCAGAGTGCCTCCTCCCAACCCATTTGGAGAGGAGGTGGATGAGAACACCTGGGAGAAGGCTGCTAAACATAAGCCTGCAGACCAGAGCAGTGGCAATCTAACAAATGCATCAGGGGGCACTGACACTGTGGTTTCTTCAGGAGATGCTGAAAATACTGCCAGTAAATCTGATGACAGTAATGTAAAACAACTGGAGAAACCTATTCCACTAAAGAGACCAGAGGGAGCAAGTGCAGTCATTAGTGCAGTGGATACTCCCAGTGAACCAGTGGGAAACAAGAGCGAAACTGGTTCATCTGGCTCATTACCAGATGTGACTGAAGCAGCAGCAGGGCCACGTGCCACTCCAGATGAGGCACAGAGTGAGGTTTTACCCCAGAGTCCTTCTGTGCCTGCTCTCACCTCTGGCCGCTCTCAAAGCTCCTTAGCGGCTGTTGGTCTAACAGAGGCGAGCGAACCAGTCACATCACACCAAAGTGAGGTAGGACTCGAGATAAAGAGCTAAAATCTGACTGATAATAATGAAATCTAACATTTACTTTGCATAACTATGGTGCCTGACTTTGTAGAAAAGGATGTTATGAAATGCTAATGCTTAGTAAACACAGGAGGTTTAGCTGGTTTAAACTGCCACAGGAAGTTGGTTCTTGGTGCCTGTTGTGATTTTAACTTAACACGACAATCGTATATAAAGTAAATTACAGTTTTATTGTACTCTCTTTGTTTAGTTGGGCTGCAAAGAGAATCGAAAACCGGCAATGGCCGAATCAAAGAGTTTCCAAGCCCTTCCACTTAAACTGGCCCCAGCCCCTGGACATGGGTTCCCACTCATCAAGAGGAAGGTACAGTGGCTAAATATAGACCTCAAAGGCAGCTAACAACATCAATATCAATAAATATGTAGCCTATAATGTACATACTGTATAACACATAAATATATTGATATGTTTATGAGCACACATAAACCTGTTGTTGCCCAAAAAGCAAAAATCTGAATGGCTGTTAGGTCTTCCTACTTCATCTGCAACCTTAATCGAAGATTACATGCATTATAAAGTTGATTATTGTAGCCGCCATCACAGGGTTCAGTCATTAGGTTTACTTGTAAAGTCATTCTTGGGTTTGCAGAAATGATGCATGGGTTTTTAGAACGAGATAATCCTAAATTTGAATCGTACATGTCGCTTGACAGGTACAGACCGAGCCAAATGTTTCTAGTGAAGACCTACAAGTCGAGAAGGGAGAACTGCTTAAACACCTGGAGGTACTGGAACAAAGGGGAGTCGAACTGGAGAGGAATCTGAGAGAATGCAAGAATGGTACACCAAACGATTCCTTCTGGTTCTAGACAAAATGATTTACTGATGCAAAATCACTCTCATGATAAATTGTGCACAAACACTAACAATGTAGTGGGGACATTTGTCTCTGCTTTCATTGTCCCTCCTTTAAATTCAGATGAAGATGAAGAGCAAATGCTAGAGGGGTGGTTCACTCTTGTCCATGAGAGACACACTCTGGTGCGCAGACACACAGCGCTGGTTTACCTGTAAGTAGGCTGGACCAGGGTGTTACTCTGACACTGTGTTGTCTGTGCCATTAACAAAAGCTTTCCCGATGTTTACAATTGAATGTGAGTTTTATTATTTTTTGTGTTGTGTTCCCAGGATAAAGCAGCAGAGGTTAGAGGAGAGACAGGCAGATGTGGAGTACAAGCTCAGATGCATCCTTAATAAACCTGGTCAGTGTGTTGCCCCCAACTGTAGCACTTTTCTTATGTGAGCATAAAGAGCTTCATCATTAAAATCACACAAACACACTACATGTTATTTCTTATCAAAAGTGTCAAGATACAGCAGACAAAATGAGTAAAGCAGAGGCTTAGATTGTTCACTGCAGTGAGCTTTGTCTTCTGACATGAAACTGCCTTGGTGTACAAAGAGTTAACACACAAATCAGAAACCTCACTGGGTTCTGTTTCCTGCATGTGGTGACTGCATTTCCCTGCAAAGAGGTAATTTTGTTTTGTTAATGTTACACTCCATCATGTTCACATTCAGAGTGCAACTGGACTCAGGAGGATCGAGGTCGAGAGCAGCAGCTGATGGATGAACTGGTCGCCATCATCGACCAGAGGAACCAGATCATCAGCAGCTTGGATCAGGACAGGCAGAGGTACGCAGCAGAGTCATACGTGGCACCTTCACAGTCAGAGATTTCTATGTTGTAAAGTAGGAATGCAACTATGTTTTTATAATTAGGGAGCAAGAAAAAGATCTGCACTGGGAAGCCACGTCGAAGAACGAAGGTGAGAAAATAAATTTTATCTCAAAAGGTCCCACCTTGTGTGCAGGTCCTCTCCTATCTGCATCTTCCTCTCCTCTCTGCTTAGGAAGAGCAGATTTAGCCTTGGATTTTTCAAAACACATGAATGCCCTGCACCCACGCCTGCTCACAGAAACATTTGAATAAGATAACTCGTGTTTTTCTGCATAACTCTGCACTTTGTCTCCCCAGAGTCCCAGAAAGAAAGACTAAAAGATCTAAAGAAGTCAAAGGGAAAATTCAAGTCCACAAAAGTTTTTAAGATGTTCAACCATAAAGGAGAGAGTACCAACAAGAAGAGCTGAAGTAGTATCACAACTGCAGAAATTTGACACAGATACAGAACTCTCACAGACAACAAACTCATCCATATGTTTAGATGGCATCATATGAAAGAGTTTAAATTCACTAAGAGCAGCTCAGTAGCAGCTGATTCTCACTGTAAATGATTCAGTGTACACTTTCTCTCCCGTGTTTCTTCACTTGCCCTGTCTGCTTTATGGAATCAATATTTATTTTACTACATACCTGTGTTGGTTGAAATATGCAATAAATATTTATTTGAGAAAGTTTGTATCTTGTCCTTGGAGGAGAATTGTATATTCCATGATTAAGAAACATTTCAAAGTGTTTTTGAGATGCTAGTTATCTTCTGTGCTGAAAAAAGCCCATTTAAATTCACAGTGAGTGAGTCAGGTAAATCCCACTGATACGGGGTTCTGTGTGGCTATTTTAAGATGAATGCAAGAGCATTTACTTTGCTTTTCACCACACTTTCACCACACCACACTGTATCGTAACAATACTTTTTTTATTATTCATTTTACTGTAACGTTATTGTTATGAACACTGGAATGAATAGTTTAGGAATCTCAGAGCTGAAAAGAGTGGTGCAATATTTATTCTAGGTGTAATCCCTCCTTTGTTTATCTGTCATCCATGATTTTGTGACTCTTATTCCCCATTTTGTATTGAGAGTTTGTTCATTGCACAGATCAGATTTTGGGTAACAGTTGAGGAATTTTCAATAGTTTACAAATCAAACTAAGTAAAACAGGGTAGAAATATGAACAAAGAAGCTTCCCACTATTTCACTTCAATATGAAACAAACACGAGTTTTGTTTAATGACACTAGACCAAAGGGTGAAACTTTATAAAACACCAGTTTGATTACACTGCAGGACAAGCGGAACGAAACGAGCGTTCCTCTTTACCCACCGGAATGTTTACCAACGCACCAAGCCACCGGAAGTTAAAAGCTCTCAGCGTTCACGTTGGTTACTGTTAACGAAAATAGTGTATTTAGTGTAAGTATTTTAGCAGTAAAGATTCAGAGGGACCTACACGAGCTTAAAGCCAAATCATGTCCGACAACGAAGATAAGTAAGTGACGACACATGGATTTAAAATTCGATATTTTGCTTAATTTGTATAGGAACACAACGCGGCATGATGTTTTAGCTAACTACCGTGTTTTTCCAATTGTGGTTTTTGTTGAATTTGTAGTTTCGACGATGGAGATTTTGATGATGCTGAGGAGGATGAGGGATTAGATGACCTGGAAAACGTGGAGGATGTAAGTTTAAATGTTAGATTATTGGGGTTCTTAGTGTTGCTACTTGAACTTTCCAGTATTCTGTACCGCGGCTACTTGTTCATGTAACGTGGTCCAGGTGTATTGCGTCCAAACTGGTTTGCTTTGCTCTTATGGACAGGAAGACCAGGAGAATGTGCAGATCTTGCCCGCAGGAGAAGGTCAGCAGGCAAACCAGAAGAGGATCACAACACCGTACATGACCAAATACGAGAGGGCCAGAGTGCTGGGGACACGAGCACTACAGATTGCGTGAGTGTTGTCGGATGTATGAACCTACACACTGATTCTCGTTGTGTGGGTTCAGATCTGACCTCTGACCTTTAGTGTGTTAGGGGAGCAAGACCAACAACCACAGCACTCATCAGTTGTGTAGTTTGTGTTACTCACTGTTTGAGTTAGAGTTTTAGAAGAGGGTTACATTTTGAAACTAGTCTGAATATCATTATTTGACTCAAATGAACTATTAATAATGCTTCCTCCTTCCTGTTTGGTCCTTATATTCACATTAAAGTGTCCTGTACATAAACTTCCTAAGAAACTACCTTCAATTTCCCCAAAATATAAATGATATTGAGATATTTATTTTAAAAAAAAGTGTTTGGTCGTGCCATATCTTTCAACTGGAAACTCAAGGAAAGATCTGGACGTAAAGCTCAGATGAAACTCAACAAACGGAGCAGAAAAGACATTTTAGATTAATGGTAAGAAAACCAGCACTGTGGTGAAAGTAAACCTCTGTCACGTACAGTGACTTGATTGTATGATTTGTTTGGCACACATCAATACTTGAAAAAGTGTTCTGTACCAATAGCCAGCACTAATGTTTTATTGGGTGGTTTGGATTTTTGCCACTGACATATAGACTGATTCACTATTCGCTGACTTGTTCCAAACAGAATGTGTGCTCCAGTCATGGTCGAGCTGGAGGGAGAGACAGACCCCTTGCAAATAGCTATGAAGGAGCTCAAGTAAGTGAGAAGGTCTATATTGTGAGAGGTAGAGCTTGTCTGTGCTCTCCAGTGTCTCTCTGTGATTTGTGTTTGTTTTGTCCTCCCAACAGGAGCAGAAAGATCCCCATCATCATCCGCAGGTACCTTCCTGATGGGAGCTACGAGGACTGGGGCTGTGACGAGCTCATCATAGCTGATTAAAGAGCAAAACCATATTCACTGATGTGATGTCAGGGACATAAGGCTTAGATTACATTAGTTCACAGTTTAACCAACAACACTATCCAAATGAGGAACAAATGATGAACAATGAAATGTACCGCATGGCAAAATACCTTTATCTACCTTGAGCTCTTCTCATTATATGGCATGAAATACCCTTGATCAGAATAGACATTATTGTCATTGCACATGAAACAATCCACAGATTTATATGGGAGTACTTTGTTTCTAACAGCTGCATTTTGACTGAGAGCCACAAGTAATGTGTGGCTTAAGCTAAGCAGCTAGTTGGTTTTACTAATTATTCCTATACTGTCTTTATTATATAGCATTTTTGAGGCAGCCATGTGACTTATGTGCTCAAATTGTTGTATTGTTATAAATAAACTTTTTTGTATAAATGATCTTGTCTTATTCATATTAGTCACAGGGGTTTGAACTGAGTGAGAACTTCTCCTGTCTGGGTTCATCTGTCTGTGTCACAGAGATTGGACAGTGTAGTCATCCAGTGAACCAGTTACACCTGACCCAGTGGGACATCCTGAACCTCCAATAGCTCATAGTGCCAGGTCATATTTAGGTTTAGTATTGACACAAATCATTCAGTGTGGCAAAATAGCTGGTGTTTGTCTTATCTGTTGCAGGTGATCCAGCTTTGGTTTGGGTAGCACTGACAAACTATCCCTGTCACAGTCTGCCTGCAGGGTGTCTGCTGTTCTTGGCTCTTGCAGCCTTCTCTTGCCTTTTAATTTCAGTTTTATTGCTTTTTACATTATTACAGGGGTGGCACAGTTCCTCTTGCTGTCTCCTCACAGCAGGAAGGTTCCAGGCTCGAGCCCCTTCCGACTCCTCTCTGTGTGGAGTCTGCATGTTCTCCCATCTTGGGTAGTAGAAATCCCTCTACTAACAACATTCTTCTATACACTGTGTCTGGGTCCCAAGGAAATTCTGGTTTTATTTGTTTCTCAAAATGTACTGACCTTTTTAGGTATCTGCATTTGAAAACTTTTGCTGATGCCCCTGTGATTCATTCTAGCTGCTGTAATGCCCCAATGTGACTTTGCTTTTTCTTCTGTCTAACATTGTGATTTTTACAGTGCAGCATGAAATAATTCCATCTGGAGGTTTTTCAGTACAGCCTGTATGTCACTTAGCTTGACATGGTTGATGTTCAGGTCTACTCCTGCAGCTGATGGGGAGGTGCTGTAACCGTTGCTTCCCTCTCCTCCCCCTGTACTCACAAGACAGCCAGTCAGTCACTGTACTGTTTAGAGGACATGAGGCCCGGCAGAAAGAGGCCGGAGCATGTTGGAGGACAGAGGGGTGGAAGGTTTGTGAGGAAGACAGCATTAACAGCTTTGCTGCAGATGAAGCTGTGTGATAATGCTCCAGCCTGTGGGAGGTGGATGGGAGGAGTGTGTGTTTGTGTGTCTGTGTGTAAGCATGATGTGTATAAAAATGCAGCCAGGAAAGAAGCAGCTGTGTGTTACTGCACGCTCATCTATCTCACCAGTGAGAAGCCAGTTTACACTGGTATCTTCAGCTGTGTGAAGCCAGCCATGCTTTAATCAATGATTAGAGAACAGTGTGCCTCAGGGTGACGCTGCGTCCTTCACAGGGCGGAGGCAGCAGCCCATGTGACACTCGCCATCATCGGCTCAGATGAGGGTTTAACTGACATCTTACTTTCAGCCCTCCACTCCATTTGTTCATCTTCTTGGTTGTCTTTACTTATTTCTCAGTGCTGCTGTTATGTCCCATGCATTTGTTTTCTATGTATTCAGCTTCTCCCATTCACCCACTTTTGGAGACCACAATGCTCATTATACAGCTGTGCTTCTGGGACCTGGTCAGTCCAGCTGTTTGGGCTCTTTCACCTGCTCTGACAGTCAGTAATGCTGTGCTTACACAACACCTGGACTCTTGCTCACATTATTTGTGGATTGGATTAAAGAACAGACTGATGAATTATGTTAATTCAGACAGCATCTTACTTTATTTCTTCAGATGTTGAGTTATATTGCACATCCTCTTTCTGACTAACAGTGCTATATGATTCCTTTGATTACTTTGTGGCTTTACATTTGACCTCAGAAGCATCTGTGTCTTTGATACGTTTACCAACCGGCCACTTGATACGTTTAGTTTGACATTTCCTTACATTGGACTACTTTCTAATCGCTGCAAACCATCTGTTCATTTCCTCGCAGGCTACTTCAGTGACCTGCAGTAAACAGGTTAGATTTTACCTGCCCTTCAGTGAATCAGCATGTCTGGGAGAAACACATGCAGCTAACGGGCAGTGCGTTTGATGCATTCTTATGTGGGAGGGTCACACAGCAGCAGGACGTCACTCCTACCTGGTCCTGGATCTGCTGCTCTTCACTGACACCTGCTATATAGACCTCTACCCACATCTTCCTTCTGATTAACTCTCAACGTTTGGAGTTTTAAACCCATGACAGCTTTAACCTAGCGGATGGGGGATGAGGAGAGAAGGCTGGGCAGCAGGGGCTTCAGGGTCTCTGTCAGAGAATGTATGAGAGTTCCTTTGTATCCCAGTGAAGCTGCAGGCCGGGCAGTTATGGCTTGGGCCCCTTCACTGCCCTGTTCCCCTCCTCCCCTCAGCTGCCCTTCAATGGCCTCCTTTGTCTTTCCAAAATATCACCCAGCCGATTAGAGATGGAATTAGGAGTCAGGCTTAACAGCAATACACAACACACACACACACTGCAACAAACCTGAAATATGCATGTAGACATGCACTGTATCAAACTGCCTTCAGACGCTGGATTAGTCCCAGTTTGATCGGAGCAAACTTTCAGTTGCAATAATCAGCTACAGTGCATGGATGTGAGTCACTTAATGCAACACATCCCCCACATAGTCTCCTTCACTGCCTGCACACATGAGGCACCATCGCTCGTGTTCAGCTCACCTCTGCTAATGGTCAGCGGAGGCTCGCTGTGGCTGAGCGGCAGCCAGCGAGTTGTCCCTTAGCAGAACACATTGTGTCGAGAATGTGAGCAGTGCTTGAGTTATTAGACACCGTTTTGTTGTGTCGTTTATAAAGAGAAGCAGGGTTTTTGTCGACTTCGGAGCAGAAACATTTCTATCTGGACTAGAGTCGTTTTAAAATGAGGACATTTTTACTGTTGTTATCCAGACTGATAGATATTACATATTGTTTCCCATATTTGTTCAGTGCATAAATGCTGCAAGAGGCCGACTGTATCAAAGCAGAAATAATAGCTTTATTTCAAGTGAGAGTACAAGATAATTAGCCATCATTACATGTTCAGGACTTTGCTGCTGCTGTTAGTTGTTTGGCTGTGCTGCAACAGTTACATAAGGATGTAAAATAGAAAAGGCTACTACTAAAATGGCAGTCAGAGGTTTTCTTCATAACAGAGTGAAACAACTACACACAAACAAAACAAATATAAATAAGAAATGAAAAATTCAAACCGATGATACAGATATTTCACACAAAGCAATGAGGAAGTAAAGTGAACTCTGAAAGTAAATGGTTAAGTACAAATGGACTTTAATGGGCTGTGAATTAAAACAAGCAGAGCTTCATGTGCTTCATAAATGTATAAGTAAGATCCACCTCTGAAATTCGACCATGGGGGAGAACACGCATGGGGGAGACATGACATGAAAAAAATTTAATAATGTGAAAAACAAAAACAGCAGGTTGTTGCTTTTCTGTCTCGTGTTAGTAGCAGGTCTTATATTAAGGCACAGTATATATTTATTATTAGGTTGCAATAAAACTTATTACATCTTTGACGCTTTAATCGATCGGTCTCTGGCAACCTGCTCAGTCTTGGCACCCCCCACTGAAACTGTCCTGGACTGTTTTTTTAAAAAGAAGCACAGCTGCAATCAAACATTTCACAGTGAATACTGTTCTATATACAGTATGATAAAAACCAGCGGTGCAGACTTCACTGGTTGTAATAATGGCAAAAAGCACTGGATGGTGTTAATACAACAGTTAAAACAATGCACAGGCTTCTGTTATGTATTGTGACACACTGTGACCATAATCAGTGAAGTCAGTCCATCCAGTTATAAATAAAATCCTCTTTTGTCATGAAGAAGTCGGATACGAAACACACTCATCAGTGCCACTGTTAAAAAAGGCAGTAGTATCTTTTGACAGTACATTTTTAAGAAGCTTACAACAGGTCACATAGCGTCAACGGCTACGAGCAAACTAATTAGTTTCATACTGAAAGGTAGTTTTGAGTTGGGAGAAACATCTGTCAGTTTCTTTTCTATATGTAAAGTTTTGGTCTCAAAACTTTGGTCATTTTACAAATATTTTATATCTGTTTCCATCAATATAGTCTACTTGTAGTTTCAAGTACACTGTTTAAGCAATCCTGACAATAGCCAGTCATCGAGAAAATGGGTTTTGACTAAATGTAGAACCAACACTCAGCGTGGTTTTATGGCATGTTCCTTCCGTGCATGCTCTCTGTGTACAGCGGGCGCTTACATGAACACAACAGAATCGTTTGAATTGAACAGGGATGAATGTGCCTCAGAAACCAACAGAATTTCTTGTTGTATTGATTTTTAAAAGTAGTACAAAACTAGAATTTGTCTGATAAAAGGTCAGTCTTGCCTGAGGAATGAATGGGCCACAGCCAAACACTCTCCGTTCTCCTGGTAAAGACGCATTTCATATAGAATGAACTGGCACACACCTTTCTGAAAACAGGGCAGGGTCCACACACAGATTTAGATGCTGTTCATTTTCACTGTGTACCCTGGTTCCTGGGCCTGCTGGCCTGAGGGGTAGAGACGACAGAGGAGTCCTATGGAGCCACCAGACCGACAGGGACCTGATCCTCTACCACCTATAAACACTGCTAATTGTGCTTCGCTGCCGTGAATGAGGCCTGGACCTGTGCAGTGGTGGGTGGGTGTTTATTCATTGTACCAGCAAAGTAACACACACTCTGACGGCGTCACTGTGTCCCCCACAGTTAATCAACTGCACTTTAAAGGCACCACGCTTCAAGTTCATCCTTTGGCTGTGACAGTATTTCTGCATCTGGGCAAGAGCAGAGTGGGGTGACCCCCCCTCCTCGTGCCCCCCCCAGTCTACTCCCCTGGTGCCTGCTCACACCCCCGAGCCCAGACCACGTTCATGTTCCTTGGGTCCAACGTGGGGGCTGAACCTGCACCAGTATCCTCTGGTCTCATTCTGTGTCATGGCCGTGACAAAGTTGTGTAGACAGGCTGTTCCCAGTGCGTGGGGCTGTGTGGCTGTGGTACAGGGTCAGTGATAGGTGTGTACAGGGGCCTCTGGGTGGGCCCCATGTAAGAGAAGGCAGAGTACAGTCCAGAGGTCTGGCTGGAGTGGGCGTAGTAGGACCCGGAGGCCTGGTGGTCAGCATACTCAGCAAACTGAGCCCTGGAGGCCAGCGAGGGGAAGGCGGAGCTATAGTGAGGAAGGCTGAGGGAGGTGTAGCTGACATGGGAACCTACTGAGACTGCCTCTGTGAAGTGACCCCCAGCACCTCCGGCCTCACTCTTGATCTGGGCCTTGGAGGGGTCTGAGCCCAGAGGGGAGCCGTTATGTTGCTGTGGCTGGTGCTGGCTGGGGAGGCAGGGTGGCGCGGGGTCCTGCAGCTGCTCCTGCCCCAGCGCTCTGCCCAACCGCCAGCTGCCCATTTAGGGGAAGATACTGGTCAAACTCGTTGACATCAAAAGGCTCCATGTTGGCCATCACCTCGTGGCTCATCTCACCGATGTCCACATTCCCAAAGTCGATGTGAGGTTTCCCAGATCCGGGAGCACCTGAGCTTCCCTCTGCTCCCATTGTACCACGGGAGCCCCCATTCCCAGTGCCCTCCCTCTTTCCATCCCCTGCTTTCCCAGACTGCAGCACTGTTTTGGGAGTGGTGGGAGGTGTGGGGGGGCTGTGGCTCTGACCTGCAGTAACACAAGAAAATATAGTTAGAGCTCATTTTCTTGGCACATTTGAACAGTTATCTATCTGCGTGCCAGACTAATCTAACAGTGTGGCAGGGGTGGCACCAGGGAGGTAGTGGGAGGGAGCGAGCCCGCCGCCCACCTGCAGCATGAGTGTGGTGCACATCTGCCAGAGTGGACCCGGCCCCCCCACTGTGGACCACATCCAGGTGGAGGCCCTTGTAGTGGGACTGGCTGTGGCTGACCTCACCCTCCGATTGGCCATCGGCTTCACTTCCTGAGCCAGAACCCAGCTTTCCGTTCTTGCGGCGCCGTGGCTGGTATTTGTAGTCTGGGTAATCCTTCTTGTGCTGCTTCCTCAGCCTCTCTGCCTCCTCAATGAAGGGTCGCTTGTCGCTCTCATTGAGAAGCCTTGGGTAAAAAGAAAAAACGCAGCTAGTTGGGTTTATTATGACATGAAAACCTTTATGCTAAAGTATTTACAGCACAGGAAGATGATGCAAAAAGTGTCAGTTTAGGAAGCTTTTAATTTGGTATAGAGAACAGTCAAAGAATATTTAGGGATGTTTTAACACGAAAATGAAAACAGTCACATTAGTATACACTCCATGTTCTGGAGGTTGTCAACAGTCTGAATTAATGGCCATAACAGAACATGTGCATACAGTACACGGCTCTTTCACACTCAGATGCTCATCACTTTACTGTCCTTTGACCAACTTCAGTGCATATTAATATTATGCTGAATATTAAGACATCTGCACAGATGTTTCTAATGTCACGCCTGCCAGCAGATTTAGAAAAGCATTCTGTCTGCAAACATGGAACTGTGACGTTATTATGCTGCTGGCTCAAATGGCATGAGAAACCCCTAACCTTCCTCAGCCGCCGAGTCCATTGTTCCTCTAGGCCAGTCAACCAGTCATGCGTCAGTCCAAGGTCAAGTCTTTTCTAATTAATGTTCACTTCCGACAGGGGTAATGAATGTCACCCTTCTGACCTGTCATGTCAGCAGAGAGTGGCTGAATGAATGGGAGACTGTAAAACAGACACTGAATGGTCTGACAGACCTTTAAGCTTAAAGCACCGCAGTGATTCTGTTTTTCAACCAAAATGAGCTCGGTCATTTTTAAATATGCAAAATTAAAGTTTAAATAATATGAAAAATCTTGGGCTACTTTTAACTTTGAGAGCTGAATATGTACTAAATGGCTCTTGATGTGTCCTGTTAACCCCTCAGGAGCCACTTACTCCAGTGACTTGGCCAAGAATGAAGCGTTATATGAAAAAATTAGCCTGGATTCAGGAACATGTGAGCACGGCCACACTCAGGTCAGTGATTCTTAGCTGGTGGGCTGTGACCAGAAGTGGGAAACAAATGAGACCGACTTTGTGTCTTAAAGGTTGCAATGTACAATAAATTGATTCTATAGAAAACTATGCCACAGATGTGTGAGGAAATGTGTAGCTACAGTTTCTATGATGGTCACAGTTGGGTCCTGTTTCATCAAACTGGGAAGGCTTGAGACAAACCAGAGTAAAGTAGAGGGTGAATACCGCTGCGCCACTCTGTGAACATCCTGCACCACCAGTAATGGCACCAGTGTCAGTCTACATGCCTGAAATTCACTAGATGTAAAATCCATGTGCATGAGAAATAAATTGAATGATTATGGATTTGATTACAGGTTGATAATCATCAGTTAATTTGATGCTTTTGTGACTGAGAGCTCAGAAAACCTTTATGTTGTTGAGAGTATTATGAGAGTAATAACAACTCTCGGGCCGGGAGATGACTCTGACCTTTGCCCTGCCCTAATCTAAAGCAATTCCCCCCCCACCCCAGTTCCGCCCCCACAGAGCACCCGCTCACCTCCACAGCTTCCCCAGGGTCTTGCTGAGCTCCGCGTTGTGCAGGTGCGGGTGTTGGTCGGCCAGTTTCCTGCGCGCCGCCTGCGCCCACACCATGAAGGCGTTCATCGGCCTCTTCACGTGTGGCTTGTTCTTGCTTCCGCTGTTCACGCGCACGGGCATGGGCACGAGGGTCCAATCGTAGCAGTTGAGCACCTGGCTCACGGCCTCACGGATTCCTGAGTGGAAGCGGTCTTCCTCATCGTCGGATTTACCGGACATGCAGCTCGCCGACACGCTGTCCAGACACGCCAGCTGCGGCTGGGGGCCGCGGGGGGGGGGGGCCCCCCCGAATGACCCGGTGACAGGGAACGGCTGTCATCCGACATCCCGGGACTGAGCTCAACCTCTGATAGGTTCTGCTCCTCTCTCGACATCTTAAGGCTGCAGGAGAGCAGAGGATGTAAGGCCTGCTCCTAAATGCTCGGCTCTACCTGTCTGGTCCTTGTTCCTGTTGATCCCTACAGTGATGGCTGCTGTGTGCTTTGTCTCTTAGGCCTCCTCTAAGTTAGAATATGAACTGGCAGTGTGTCTCTACTCTGTCTCCGCTGTAAAACTGTGAAAGTGCTTTCCATCCGTGATGTTGGTATCACAGGCGGCTCAACGCGCACCTCGGACCCCAGTTTACCTGCTGATGCACAACTCACCCGCTCTCACTTCCCTCCTGAATTCCCCTTCTCTCTCTCCTCCTTGTGTCCCGCTATTGAAGTCCGACAGCAAGGACCTGAAAAGACAGAGCGTTATTAAAACAGAGGTAAAGTGACGATCCCTAAACTTCACCAACAGACCGACTGTGCTGTTTTCTGGTTAGTGTTTAGGACAAATTTAGTCCAGTGTCTTCACTCTATCACGGGAATAAATCATAAAAGAACAGCCTTTTAAAATTCTAAGTGAAACTCCTAAAGTTTATGTAAGTTCGTTTGCGCAGTCTTTAGACATTTAAAACCAGAATTTATATTTGTAAACGTCCAGCTCCAGTATAACGCATTGCCTCTCTGCGGGCCCGAGCCTCGGCCCCTCCCCAAACGAGCTACTGTTTGAGGTTTTGCAGATATTCCAAGCTCCCCGGGGAGAAAGTGCCGGAACGATATGAAGCCGCAGTAGAACAGACCTTGGATTTATACTCAGCAGTACTTGGATAAACAAGGCCTGGTGCTGGAAATATAGACCTCGTGTGTGTGCGTGTCAGTAGCTTGTGTGAGTCCGTTTGTTAAACAGGGCCAGGTCTATCGACAGGGGCAAAATGTGCCCTTGTTTTGTCCATTACATCAAGTCCTTCCTCGAACTTTACCTTCTAAATCAGCGAACTGTGAACCAGCAACTCACTGGTTTGTTTTGTTACTGCAGCGTCATTTTGCAGCAAACGTCTAGTACCAGTTTATGTGTTAGGATAAGTGGGGGGTATACTCACTTAGCACTCAGGTTACCACACCTTTGTATTTGAGGAAAAGGGCTCGGCCTTACCATCTACTGGTCTTATGTAACCTACAGTGTAGTTTTAATGGCATTCGGTTTTTAATTCACTTCACCGTGGATGTCCGGCGTAGGATCCGTTTCCAGCAGAGGGGGGTGTAAAGCGTCACCATCTGTCCGAGGCGCATCGATTATGATATTCGTTTGCCACCTGGTCTACGAGGCCGCTTCAGTCTGTCATCGTGTCCCCAAAGTGTCCCTGTTCGTAAACATCGTGCGTAAAAAGCACCAAAATGCCTCATTGCGCACTTGTTGCATATCTTATAATGCCACTCCACGAGAAAGGAAATAATAATGGTGGAGAATAATGTGACACATTTCCTTTAGTTGCTGACCAGTTATCATAAAGGCTTCACATTTAAATTAAGAAGAAACAAGCACATAACGATCTCACCGGACTCGTCTCCTCGCAGCTAATTTATTGTCTGATTCTAGAAAGTTTTTGACAAACCCTTTAAAAATGCTAGTTTTTAATCGACCTTCCTGAGCACATTTACTCCGTGGAGTATTTCAATGTGCATTATTGTCCCCGTTTGACGTGCCAGTGCCTTAATTTGCTTGTTTGCGCGTCGGCACATTTTCAGCACCACAGTAAATAACAAACATTCCGTTTGTGTGTTGAAGTTACTTTGTCAGTAATAGGATGGCACAGTCACCTGCAACTCGTATAAACCTCTCCTCGTTTTAAAAAGCTTTTCGAGCAATTGGCCTTTCTTATAAAAATAATTAAAATACCTCAGTCAAACTGAAAAGTCTTGAATTTTAAATTCTGTGTCAGTAGAAATACATAAAAATGAAGCCATCTCAGAAATCTGTTTAGAACTGGACCGTTTGTTGCACAGGTAACAGCAGAGCATCATTGCCATGTCAGGAAGGATTCAGACTAATCCCTGTACCAAAACTGTCCAAACATGTCCCAAAGGTTTCCAAAGGCTTGTAAACTCTTTTTGGTGCTGAAAATAGATTTTCTAATAGAACCTTTCAGAGACCTGCGTGAATGAAATGTTATATACATGTTATTGAAGTAGGAGAAAGAACAAATCAGCCATTTCCGACACAAGGACCCTACGAGTCCTGAACAGTAGTCGTTAGTAATGATCCTGGCGGTGCTAAACATTATTAGAGGTAAGATTATATCTGTAATTCTGAGTCGGGGCTCTTCTGATCGCAGTCAGAGCAGCCACCAGCAGCAGAGAGGAAAGAGTTGGAAATGCTGAGCATCTTACTTCAGTAGTGAGAAAAGGAGGTCGCCTGTTTAGCACGAGAATCCGCGAGGTCCCCGGTTTCCAATGTGACGCTCGCTCCCCAGCCCCCTCGCTCGCGCTGCCCGAGTATGAATGCCTGCTCTGTGTGTCGGTACCAGGGCTTAAAGAGCCCCTTGTATGATGCTGGGCGAAAAAAATAAAAGGACACTGGGGAGGACAAGTCTTAAAGGAGCAGCACAGATGTAGGATGCAGGCTCGGAGGCATCTGATTGGTCGAGAAATAGTTCTCCCTCTCTCTCTCTCTCTCTATCTATCTATCTATCTATCTATCTATCTATCTATCTATCTATCTATCTATCTATCTATCTATCTATCTATCTATCTATCTATCTATCTATCTAGATCTGTTTATTCTATTTATACATTTGGATGCAGATAGGTCATGGGTAAATTGTGCGCACAAAACTTTACGCAGAGAGAGAGAAGATAAAATACTATCAAAAATGTTACAAATGCTGTTTAACGTTTTGTCTGTAACAAGCCATTTGTGTGTGTGTGTCATGCTGTTCACAAATACATGCTGTACAAACTGCACATAAAACACATTTTACAAATTTAAAATCGATTTTTTTGTGTGCAGTTCTTTAGAAAGTACGTACACATTGTTACCTACGCGTGCGTGGTTCGTCTAACACACATGAATCACCTTCCGCGCACAGACGGATTTTTGAGAGTGTTTTTCGCACAAAAATCCACGATCCACGAATGCACGGTGCGTTTAAGGATACGTGGAAAACTCGGACATCTGAGTGTCCAAACCTTTTTCCCAAACAAAAGTATTTACACAACGCTAT